GTTTGCTCACTGGCTGAGCGTGGTGCTGACAACACCAAGCCAAGGGTCGAGATCCCCTTACTGGTCATCTTTTAAAAAACAAACAAACAACAACAACAAAAAACGCCCTCTTTGAAGCAGAATTAATTGCTTTTTCTGAGTGGTTCGTGTTTGTGGTTCCTTTGCAGGTTTGGAGCCCAGCGGCCAGTGTGAACTGTCACCTGTCAACGCCTCCCATCCTGTGCAGGCCTTGATGGAGAGCTTCACTGCGTTGTCAGGCTGCGCCAGCAGAGGCACAACTGGGCTGCCACAGGAGGTGCACGTCCTGAACCTCCGCACTGCCGACCAGGGGCCTGGCCAGCCGCATAAGGAGGTAGGTGCAGGTGTCAGCTTCCAAGCCACTGCCCTCTGAGTCTGCAAAGAGGATTTGATGAACAAAGAGCCCTTTTCTTCTCTTCTGGGGTCCAACAAGGATGCTCATGTATGAACACAACAGAGAGCAAATTTAAAATAATGGGTTGCTCTCCAGACTGGGCAACTTTAGGACTTTTCTCTCTAGAGATTGCTTGGTTCTCCCACTTTCTTGGCCTTCCACATGGGAAAGAATGTTTGTAAGAACTACATCGTTTAAACATTATTGTGAGAAAATAAAATAAGGTGCCATTTCTCTGTGGTTATAGAATGTCTTTCCCATTTTCTCCTGTGCCTTCTGTTTCTTCTTTCTTTTGCTTCATTCTGTGAACCTGTCACCCCTGCAGGCTGATCCAGAGAGATGGGCACACTCTGGAATAAAGTTGGTAGTACTTTGCATTTGCATGAAAAGCCCCGAGTGTGGCTCCTTATCACTATCCAGGCAGCTTCTCAAAGATGGTGATGATCTTGGTGGTGATGGTGATGATGATGGTCCAGGCTCATAGTTACTCAGCATTTGTCCTGTGCTTAGCACTGTGGAGAACACTCATATGCTAACTCCACGAAGTCCTATAGTTATAATCATTTTACAGGTGATGAAACAGGTACAGAGATAACTTACTTGCCCAAGGTCATCACCTTCAGAGAGAACTGGCCTCCTTTTTCCTGTGGCTCAAAAATGAGTGAGTGGTCATCATGCTTCCTTTAAGAGGGTAGATTTTCCCACAAGATAACACACAGTTGTCAGTTGTCATTCTTTCTGTTTTTAAATTTCTGTGTGTCAGAAATATTATCACTCAGGTGTTATCTTTCTAGGGAGAAAGAAACCACAGTAAAAAGCCTGATCACAGTGAAATATAGGAAAACTAATGCAGAACAGAATTTATCTTTGAGCTTTCTTCTG